ACCAGAAGTACATTTCATTTTATTTCATTTCATTTTCATTTTATTGTACTGAGTACTCATTTACTTACAAGTCATGGGTATTTTTGTTCTGAAATGTGAAATTTTTCCTCCAATATTAGGTATGTGCATATGATAATAGTATTTGCTCAGATCTATGACAAGAATTTAATAGGAATTTTAAGATATAAAATTATTAAGATCAATCTGTTTGAAAATCAATTACATCACTCAACTATACCTGTGTTATTTTGTTGAAGTTATCATCAAGCACTAATAAACTTAAAGTTTGTGATTATTTTCTGTACATTAGGAAACTATTCGGAATAGTTTCTTAGGGGAAAATAAGTTTAGTTTCCCTGCCTCGATTTGCTTTTCTACCATAGTGAGCAAATCTTTTGTTTTGGGTACCCAGCATCCAGGTGGGGAGGAGATAATTTCCCTAGAGTTTGAAAAGGGATATTGAGCCACAAAGCTTAAAAGTTTCCTTTGTTGTAATGTTCTATAATTTCTATATGTACAGTACTTTGTCTTGGAGCATTTATGACATTTATTATTAACAATAAATATTAGGGGAAATAACAGCTGCAACTGATTCTTAAAACTGGAAAGGCACATTTAATAGCTTGAAACCCTTCATTAGACTAAAGCATATAGACATCTAAAAAAGAAATAGACTCTTACTGTTAAGTTTGTAAAATATACTTTTTTATAAGGCTCTTTCCAACAAACAATAAAATGTGACAAGATCACATATTACACATATGTGTGCTATTTAAATGTTTCATTACTAAAGTAATTATCTTGCAAACAATGTCAATGTCATCTTTATCATTACTTATTTCAGTAAACACCTACAAATACAAATAAACTAAAAGTGCACAGTGGTATTTTAGAGCTATTAAATTAATAACTCATTCTTTCTCCCTTGATTGGGAGAATAAAAATAGAAGCAAGTTGCAATTCTATTTAATCTGTAGTACCAAAATAATAGCTGTAGATAATTTTGCTGGTTTTACATGGTTGTAAAAATTAAAATTCCTAGAAAAGAATATATGTATGCATAAAGTTAAAACATGAACAAGTATATGCTGTGTAATTTTATTCAAAAGTAACACTGTATGAGTTAAGATAAAGGATTGATGAAATCTTTAAAATCTGAATTGTGGAAAAAATGAGGACACAGTAGAATAAGTTGGTCAATGGTAAAGGAAGTTAACCTACATGTAAATATTGTTTTGATGAAACAAAGGGTAAATTTGAATAAGGAAGGAAAATTTCATGGGAACTTTCTGTAATATTGTGTCTCCATTACCATACAAGCTCCATACCATTACCATTTCTCCACAGCAGCTTTAACATTGCTGCCCAAAATGGTTGCCTAATATGTGCACCTGTTCTAATTCCGCAGCTACTGGTAGAAGAAAGAAAACAGCTAGCCATTTGATCTGCCTACCTTGCAGTATTTCCTTGTGACTCTCAGGAAGGGCATTGGTGCTAGAACTACTTATTCTTTAGAATGTTTACTGAAATTATATTCTGTATACCATGTTTTAAATAGATCTGGAGCAAAGACAGTCCTGTATGATTATTTACACACACACATACACACACATGCACGCGTGCATGCACACACACACATTTTGTGCATTTGCTATACTATTCAATGTTCATCATATGTGTGTTTGTATATTTGATGCAAGTGTTAGAAATCTTTCTAAAATGAGTTTATGAACTAAAAATCACTAAAAAAATCTGAGAAAGAAGTAAAATTTGGGATGTTTGTATTTATTTCTCATTCTCTATACATATTATATCTCAAAACCTTCGCATCTCATATAATTGTTATTTTTGAAACAAGATAGGTTTCAAAAATTCTGTTATTTTTATTTAATTATTGAGATACAGGCATTGCTAGGCCCAGGTGTAGAGAAGATGGCAAATCAACTACTGGGCATAGGTTTTCTCTTTCTACCCTGTCAGGTTTCAAGTAACAAACTCAAACATGCAGGCTTGGCAGCAAGTACCTTCAATAGTTGAGACATCCCAATCTCTATTCCCCTGAAAAGTGGTTTTAATTCATTGATGAGAAATAAATATAAAACAATTTAACCCTTATCAACCATTCTAGCTCAAACGAATTAGACTAAGGTCACTGATAATTCTCTGTAGCCACAAATATCTACTATGATGCCTTTAGTAGTTAAATGTTGATCGGGGGCCACACTGCTTGGGTAAATAATTTATGTAGCTTTGTACAAATTAATGTTTTCTTAGAGAAACAAATTATTGAACTTATCCTGCTCTAAATATTAGCATTTATAATGTTGGATATTGCAAGAATTTTCCTATGGTTCTTTCATCAGGGACTTAAAGTTGTCTTGTTCTTTCAGAATTCTCATTAAAGGTAAGTTTTAAATAAATAGCTAAAGCTGCCTTCTGCATTCTTAAGTTTGAAACTTTAAGAATGTAATGGGTTAAAGGAGAGGAAGAAAACCTTCAGTGCACATAGCCCAAAATCTCAGAGTTTATAACAATTAAATATCAAAAAACTTCAACACTCACTACCACTGGCAGTCATGGAATAATATCTAACCAAAGCCTAGTATCTGTGTTGTTCATGTGTTTTACAGGAACATATTCCAACCTCCATCAATTTAGGAATCGATAGATGCAGGCAACTGTGGTAGGTTCAGGCATGCATCCTGCGTCATAAAAATGTCTTCTGTATGAGAGCTATGTTAATTCATCACAGCTAATGTAAAAATCAACCTCGGTGTAAAATATGAAAGGGTAAAGTTATCGCAAGTGGATTGCATGCAGCACTCATTTTAAATCAAATGCCACTCAAATTTTGTCATTTAGTAGGGTTTTGAAACAGCCAAGCCATTAACAGAAGAGTGTAGCTTTTACATGTATACAACCAGTGACTAATGAAACATTATACCCAGTGTGCAAAGGGGAAAAGTACCCTTTAGTTTGTAATGAACCCAATTGGAACCCCCTTTAAACACAGTGCAATATGGTTTCACTGTCTCACCGAGGCTCTCATTATGTGTGTCAATAATACTAGGTAAACTGCTGTTGAGCTTCACAGTATTTATCTAGCAGCATGAATAGCATTAATCTATGGGGTGCTTTCGATGAATTGAAGTTCAGGAGTAAAAGCCAAGACTGACTTCTTGAAAAGTGCTTCGAGAAGTATTTATTAGAAATATGTCAACTGCCAACAACTTAAAGGTAGCTGGCTCTTGGCAAAATCGTGCTGTTACCAGCTTGAAAACACCAAGATAGCATGAATTTTTCCCAACTTGAATTGCTTTAAAGGAACAAGTGACATATTTTCATTTGGGTATATTATTTCTTCACTTACTTCTCCTTCAATTCTCCATGGTTTTAAGGTCCATTTATGTGATCACAGCCTGCCATTCTCCACAACATGCAGGCAGGAGTCTCATTTATTTGAGGGTAGCGCTTATAAAACTTAAGATAAATCAGGTATACTACACTGTACACATGTTGTATATAAATATGTATTCTTGAATCCTGCTCTTAGATTCTCAGGAATTTTTGTGAATTGAGCACTAGTTATAATGAATGCGGCATTTCACCTATATAAATTTATCACACTTAACTCCAGCCTAATTATTACTATTGTAATAATATTAGAGTAGGGATCTTTCTCAAGGTTGATATTTTTGAAACTTTTTATGAAGTATTAGAAATGAAAAACAGAATCTATAATTTCCAGTGTGTTTATTCGTGAAAGTCTTAATCACCATGTGTCTAGCAATGTATAGGAGAGAGATTTTATCAACAGCAGTTTTGAAAATAAGAGAACTATAAGTTATTATATTATTTTCTTCATCCCTTATAGTATGATAACAGAAGAATACTTAGAAATATGATGAAACAAGTTTTTTTCTCAGAAAATTAAAACTTTTCAAAGAGTTAAACTTAATCCCTCAAGGATTTTGCTCACTTTTTCTTTTTTATTGAGAGCTAGGTAACTCATCCATGTTTCTAGCATCATATGCACATTGACTTGGATGAAAGACAGCAAACACATTCTTTCCATGATTCTTAAAGTCCATTGATCTTATCACTGCACTTTATTATATTCACTTGGAGCTCACTTTTTAGTAATTATTCCAAGGATAAACTAATATGCTCAGAAAAAATTACCTTGGTGCAATATATGTTGGAAACATTGCTACTAATTGTTTCTCCTAGAGGCCCATGATACACTTTAGCATCTATGAGGAACTGCCAGAGGCTATTAATAAATGCAAGCTAACTACATTAATTACAGGATTTATTCATGTTACAAGAAGAAGACTTTTCCATCTAGTCATAGGTTAAAGCCACCTTATGAAGAAGCCAAGGTCTTTGGAAGTTGACTAAAACAGTCATTTTCTTTTCTCATAATTACTTCTGCCCTTTTTGTATTCATACCAATTTTGAATTAAGCACAGTGGAGGGAAAATGATTTCAAATTATCACTCATAAGAAACTAATCTTTAGACCTGCAAACTTTTGTCCTACTAAACTTCAATGGCATTATAATCTTTGTGTGGCACAATTCAGTATTTAAAAAGCACATTTAATGATAATAAAATGCAGTTGGTTCAAGAGAAATGTTTTCCAGTGCTCTGAATTACAACATAAAATCACTTATAGTAATTTTAAAAATCAACTAATTTAACTTATACAACATTACCAAATATCAAATTTAATTAATTATAATTAGGCTTTACACAAAATAATTTTATTTTTCTACAAATGCTTTACTTTCTTCTTAATAGCCAAACTTGAAACATATTAAATATATATCTTGAAGATATTTATACTCATGAGAATTCTTTCTGAAAGAAAAATAGGACTTATTTCACTTATTATTTTTTTAACCAATTTTGGCAGATTTAAAGTCTTTGATAGATTTGAACAATTGCCCACCACCACTTTTCTTCCATTCACATGTAATGCTTTCCAAAAGAACTTACCATGTACAATGAGGACATACTCTGCGCTGCTTTGGCCAATGGTGTTAGTGGCTTCGCATCGATAAGTGCCATTGTCCGTTTTGTTCAGGAAGAGAATGTTGAGTTCCCTACCACTCACAACCATCCGATCAGGATCTGGTAATTCTGCACCATCCTTCGTCCACAAAACAGGTTCTGGCCTATTGGATACAGGCATGCATGTAGAGAGAAAAAATAGGAAATGTTAAATGTTCTGTGAACAAAATCAAACAATTCAAATAGACATCTTCCTCATGCCTAACTGTGTGTTGGCTTTGACAGGATATCAATAAGCCATCAAACATTACCTCAGAATAGGAGGCAAGATAAATATACTTTAATTCTGTTCTAGTTAATTAATAAGATACGTGTTAAGGGTGTTAAGGAACAAATTTGTTGAATCTTTGTAGTTGTCTCTTCTAGGAGTCTGCTTATGTCAGTTCTTTGTCCTGATGCTGCTGTTAAAGACTAGCATCTCACAGTGATCTATTTTTTTGCTCAGATTTATCTGAAATAATACTCTGACAGCATGGTTCTACCACTGAGGCAAGATGCTTACTGAAGCTCTCTTCTTCCTTTAATCTCTGCCACTTTTTTCATTCTTCTAAAGAACTTGTCTAGATGTGTTCCTTCCAAAAAGTGGACTCAGCAGAACAGCAATATGGCTTAGCAGGTAAAGCACTTGCTACATAGTCCTGAATATAAATTCCATGTCTGGTAAAAATAGAGCAAGTCTTGAAATGTTCCTTCTACATACCACTACGGGAAACACACACACACACATACTCTATTTTTAATCTTTACAAAATGAAGTCAGATATGGTATGACAGTTCTTCCTCACTGAAACCTATGATATCCTTTATAAATGAAATAACAGATACGCTTTCAATTTTACCAGGATTGATAAATATGAAATATATATATTTCTTTCTGGCCAAGTTGCTGACATGGTACTCTTGAAGAATTTTTACTTAAGGGTACTGCTAAAGTAGTTAGGTCTTAGCACCAGTTTCTGATAATGATCCTAATTTCATTGCAAATACTTGTATAATAAAAAAAATCTTTTGTTTCAAGGAGGTCCACCTATGAGATACTATATAATAATATACTCTCCATGTGTTCCTGAGAATCCTCAGAAGGGAGCTACTTAGATACAGAACAGAGACTTCCTCTCTTAACTTTTTATCTTTCATGAGAGTACAGAGGTTAAAGTTGAGTCAGTAGCCAATGCTTAATAATGTGATCAATCAGAACTATTCTATGTAGCCTCCATGAAAACTGCAAGACGTATTGTCTTGTGGAAAGTTCATTAGTGGAAAAACTGCTCATAGAAGCCATGAGTTAGCAAACGAAAACCCTACTGGCAGGAACAGGATACCCCTTATGAGTTGTTGACCAGGTAACTTCCAGAGACCTCCCCCAGAACAATGCAGGCAGTTGGTGTTCATCCACTTGTTTCTTGTTCACCAGAATTAGATGCTAAAAATATTTGCTGAAGCTGCCTACACACCAGGCTTGCATGCTATAGAGATATCTGCTGGAAATGAGCTTGAAACTTCTTTCCTCACACCAAAATTTCAGTGCCTCAGAAGGTGCTATGCAGGTACAGAAAAGGCATCTGCTGTCTTACCCAGCTGTGAATCCTTTAAACTATGGAACAAATCTGCCAGGCAAGATATGTCCATGTGTGGAGTTTTGGTCCAACTGCTGTGAAAGTAAAAAAGCTCTTTTACTGATTTTGAAGCCTGTTCCATAGGAAGGAATCTATGCCTTGTAGCATGACTTATAGTATAAATCTATCATAACCACGTGTGGCAGAGGGGGATCACAGAGTGTAGAACAGTGTTTGTCATGCTTCCTAATGCTGAGACCCTTTAATACAACTCCTCATGTTGTGATAACTCCCAACTGTAAAGCTCTTTTGTTGATACTTCATAACTACCACTTTGATACTCTTATGAATCATAATATAAATATTTTATATTCAGGATATCTGATATGTAACCACTAAAGGGGGGTCACAACCCACAGTTTGAGAACCAGTGCTTTAGAAGGTAACTGAATATTGTTACTTAGCTAAATTGAATTACCATCAACTTGTCTTTGAAATATTTATATCTATATGGAAAGAGAAATGCTATTCTCAGCCTTAATCAGAAGCTTCTTTCCAGCATATGACAATGGATACAGAGACTTCATAAAATACCCAGAATAAGAGGTGAATGAATACTCAGTCAACATTACAAGAGATTGAGCAGAAAAAAAATGGAAGAGACTGAAAATGGGAAGAAAGGCTACAAAACCGCATCTTCTAGCCAAGGCATAGGCATCACGATGACACACATATAAGCAGCTGCAGACACCTGCACTGGGTCTACACAGGACTGGACCCACTATCAGTCAGGAAAGGATGGAAGAGGTCTCTGCAGTGTCTTACACCTCACTGCTAAACTATTTCTATTTTTTAGTTTCTGGGAGAATGCAGTCATTGCCTTTATTGGAATCTGACTGATGACATTACCAGGATGTCATGGTTAATTTCAAATCAGCCTCAGACACACAACCCAAGTGAAACTCAGTGTGTCATAAAACAAAATGATGGTTATGAATCTGGAAAGGGGATGGGTAGGACAAAAGAAAGTTAGTGGAGATGGGAGGGAAAGAAGTAAGGGAGGGTCAATGGCATAATATATTATATCACAAACATGTATGATTTGTAAAGGACAACATAAAGTATATATATATATATATATATATATATATATATATATGTGTGTATATATATATATGTATATATATATATATATACATATATATACATACACATACACATACACATACACATATACAGAAAAATGTTTCTCCCCAGATTGAGGAACTCAAGTTTGTCTTTTTCCTCTACACATCTGCATCTCCTCATTTAGTAAGTCATCTGTATTCTTTCCAATAACTTTTGTAACAAAGAGAAAAGAATTTCTCTGAGGCATCCCAGCAAATTAATTCAATCTAGGGAGGGAGTCATGGCAATGCTGACTCACAGTGTGTTGATCAGAAGGATGTTTTACGGTCTGCTATGTGTAATTGGTCTAAGACATAGTAGCAGTTTCCTGGGATTGAACCTTCCTAGTGTGGGATCTGACACTATCTCCAGCTACATAGAGACAGAATTGAAGTGAATTACAGGTTTCTTTATGGCTGTCCCTGGAAGGACTGATAGCTGGAAGAGAGAAACTGGCTGGCACATATATTTTTGTGAATAGGGTGAATTATAGTAGTGTGCTAGTAGAGAATAGTGAGCAGTTTGATTTTTCCTATCTCTTTAGAAAGAGAAAGTAAAGAAATAAAGGCAATTTTACTAGAATTGTACTCATGAAGTTTCTGAAATAACATCTTTATATTAAAATCACTGTAGAAACTAAGCATAAGAAATTATGAAAAGTTATTTTTTCTCATCCAAAGATATAGATAATTTAATAATATATCTAGTAAAAGAAAATCTAATGCTAATAAATTTCTCCTTGCTCTATATTTCCTACTTACTCTACTTGCTCTTAGAATTTAATAATTTGAATTTTGGAACACCCTATATAATATTATGTGTGCATATTCCCAGCATTGCTAGAAATGATAAAATAGGTCAAATGAAACTAGGATTTGTATCAGATCTAAAATAGTAGAGTCTTGGTGGTTTTCCCAAAGCCATAAAAAAAGGCATAATAAAAATAATATGGAAAAATTTTATTTAAAGCCACTAACTTTTTCACTTCCTCTCAAATGACACACTTATAGCAATAATTTCTTGATACACAAGTTAATATTGATAAACACAGAGATATAATTGTCCATGTGCCAAAAATTAATACATCCAATCTAAATTGAAATGGCATTTTTCTAACTGGTGAATATGTTTTCAATTACCACTTAAGCACATTGTTTGATAAATACATAAGTAAACTTAGACTTGTATTTTAAAATTGTATAGAAACATAAACATCTAAAGATTTGTGGAAATTTAAGTGCTCAGCCTATATTTTAAATTTTTCTTCTAAATGCAACTTCCTTCTAGTAAATGAGAGAAAAAATAATAGAAAAGAACAAAGAAAAATAACCTTTGTATGCATTGTGACAGTAAGAGACTGAGATTGAGTCTGTGTTACATCTATATAAAAGCTCTTCAGGTATTCCAGATCCTACTCTGGAAGATAACTCTTGCAGGTGATAAAGGTGTTCACATCACAAGATGTAATTTGATGAAACAGACATTAGAGTTTATGTGCAGATTATGAATAGCCTAGACATATTCAACTTAATATCAAGTGCTTTAGTATCCCTTTGTGTAGCTTGTGTTTCATCTTAATATAGAGGACCCCCTACGCTTTTTCTAATTGGAAACTACAAATGATTAAGTTTCTTCCTTCAGGTGAATAACACACTTCTCTCCATAAAAGGAGTTCCAGCCAATAGTTTTTATATACCAAGGCTAAAGAAAAGAAGAGGTGGAAAACACCAGGAATAACAGAAGAGAGAACAGCAGAACTGATATTCCACAGACCAGTCTTACAGTGAGAACATTAATACAGTCAATAGAGAATGCCCCTTTTATGTTACAAGATCCTTAGAATTTTTAGACAACCAGTATGAGGTAAAACTTCATGTTACTTTTCTCTACTAAATCTCCAAACTCATAAAGTTGATTTTCATAAGGGGTTATACCTATGGAATTTTCTAACAGACTCTTTTTTCTTCTAAGATAGAAAGTTATGGAAAAAAGAATAGTAATCAAACATGTTCATGGATTCTTTCCTGTGTTTTAAAGTCTTAGTGAAATAGATTACACTCTTACCACAATTTTTAAAAAGTTAGCTCATTGGGTTTTTTTTCTCATCATGAAAGCATTTTTTGAAATTATAATTTAATTACAGTATTTTCCCTTTCCTTTCTTTTCTCCAAATTCTTCCATATACTCTTCCCATTCTTCTTATGCATGGCCTTGCCTCCACTATTAACTGATATTGCATGGATATATGCATATATATGAGCATATATCCCTAAATACTAAATATAATCTGTTCATTCTCTTTATTTTTCCTTGTAACATTATAGATTTTCAGGGATTATAGTTTAGAAATGGACAAAAGACCACTGTGCTCTTCCCTGGGG